TGAGTCATAACCGTGATATGAGATAATATGGTCAGACACAGTGAAACCACAGCCATCTTTAAATCCCATATAACATCTGATTCAACTTTGCCACCATATGAAAGCAGTGCAGAGGTTTAATGGAGGTCCACTCTGACCTTTGTCTGCACGTTAAGTTGAGAATGAAAGCGCCGTTAGCTCACACTCCATAAAAAACACAACGAGTCAAGGACGGCAGAGCAGAGCGGCAATCTGAGTGTGACATGTGTTGCGTAACGGGAAGCAGCGTTGCTGATAAGGAATGTGTGCAGACTGTCACCTTATCATGTGCACCGGACATTTTGTTCACACACATACCATGTATTCATCACTTCAGGGGACATTACATTCACTTATCCTAACCTTAACCATAACCAACACATGCCTAACCCTAACCCTTACCATGTCTCCAATTTGTCCCCATAAGGGAGGCGAGTCCCCACACGTGACTGTGTAAACAGATGTAGGTCCCCACAAGTATAGTAATGCTAGGCCACACACACACACACACACACACACACACACACACACACACACACACACACACACACACACACACACACACACACACACACACACACACACACACACACTGCATAAGGGTCTGGTGTGTTGACAGGCAGCAAAAGATGCACTTCAAGTCTTTGTCCTTGGTTTGACTGCAGGGTAACTTGTCTCTCTGGTATGCAGCCTGTGTTAACACCGGACAAACTGTCTCTTATTGCACTTTTGTTCACTAATTAAGTCTGTTAATGTAGATTTAGACATTTTAAGACATGGCGATTGGTTGTTAGATTCACTAGATAGTCAAATAAATGCCCCAAGTGTTTCTTCAGGTTTGCTCCCACATAAGATTATTTTAAAAGCAGCAAATTCTCACGTTTAAGATGCTGGATCCATGAAATGTTGAAAAAGGACTTATCAATCAATCAACAAAGAAAACAACAATTCAGTCTTATATTTTGTCCTTTGGTTGGTTGTTTGGTGAGTTTGGGATTGGATAAACCCATCATGATAGACTGCTTTATTTTACTAAGGTATTTCATTTTTTCAGTTCATTTACATTTCATTACATTACATATCATTTCGCTCACGCTTTTATCCAAAGAAACGTACAATAAGTGCAAAAACCATAAAGATTCAAACTCCGGACAACAAGGAAAGTGCAGATATATTCATTTCAAGCGAGGCAGACCATAGTAAGTGCTGGTGGATCAGATACAAGGCCTAAATGAACTCAAAAGGTGCTTCGTTTAATTTCTGTTCAACAAGAGAATTGTTGAATTTCCCTTTTTCTTAAGTCACATCTTTGCAGAGCTGCTAGCATGCTAAGTATTTCCTTTCTAACAATCTACACTCACCAGACTCTTTCCCTATAGTCGGCAAGTAGATGGTAGCTTACTTCTGCAATATATTAAACTGGTGGAGTTCAGTGGAAAGAAAACATTTGTAGTATTGAGGTGAACTTTGCTTTTCTAAAGTTTAAAGTACATCCTCAGAAAGCCAATAGCATTAGTTGAGTTCATGCATCAGGTGGCTCATTTTCTCATATCCTCCAGCATTGCTTTGGCCACTGAGTGAAGAACAGTCACCTTTTTAAAAGTCTTTAAACATTGGTATTCATTTGTGTACAGTTTCAAAGCACAAAGCACCAATACTTCTACTTTAAGTATGGCATGTTGGATCTTTCCCAGACAGGCCTGCTTTTATGTAACACAGATTTATGTTTAAATATTCTCCAGAAGGTGTGGCTGTTTATGCAGAAACAGTAACATGTTGTTCGGCCGTCACCGTGCAGAGTTCAGGACATCGAGTTCTCTTTCTGTCTGACGTCATGCCAGCCTGTTGGTGCTCAGAGAGAAGTGGGAAGTAGTGGAGTACAAATAATTCATTACTGTACTCAAGCACATTTTTCTGGTATCAGTACTTTACTACACTACTTTTTCTGACGACTACTTTTAACCACAAATACCTGTACTTTCTACTTCTTACATGTTGAACTCAAATACCTGTACTTTCTACTTCTTACATGTTGAACACAAATACCTGTACTTTCTACTTCTTACATGTTGAACTCAAATACCTGTACTTTCTACTTCTTACATGTTGAACTCAAATACCTGTACTTTCTACTTCTTACATGTTAAACACAAATACCTGTACTTTCTACTTCTCACATGTTGAACTCAAATACCTGTACTTTCTACTTCTTACATGTTAAACACAAATACCTGTACTTTCTACTTCTTACATGTTGAACTCAAATACCTGTACTTTCTACTTCTTACATGTTGAACCCAAATACCTGTACTTTCTACTTCTTACATGTTGAACTCAAATACCTGTACTTTCTACTTCTCACATGTTGAACACAAGTACCTGTACTTTCTACTTCTTACATGTTGAACACAAATACCTGTACTTTCTACTTCTTACATGTTGAACTCAAATACCTGTACTTTCTACTTCTTACATGTTGAACTCAAATACCTGTACTTTCTACTTCTCACATGTTGAACCCAAATACCTGTACTTTCTACTTCTTACATGTTGAACCCAAATACCTGAACTTTCTACTTCTTACATGTTGAACCCAAATACCTGTACTTTCTACTTCTTACATGTTGAACCCAAATACCTGAACTTTCTACTTCTTACATGTTGAACCCAAATACCTGTACTTTCTACTTCTTACATGTTGAACTCAAATACCTGTACTTTCTACTTCTCTCATTTTCCAAACAGCTGGTTCCTTTAGTCTGAATGTGTGTTTGATGCGTGATCATTATTCTTTAGAGTCATTGCGTGCCTATTGATTTGAACACGATCCGTGTATCCATCATTTCCTGGTCTTCTCTAAAGAAGAGGGACCAATGGAAACGTTGTCATGTTGCCGTTGTTCAGCATGGAAACATTCATTAGCTAACAATGACATTATTGTTCTATTGATATAAAGGGAGGTCAGGTACTCTTTAAAGCAGCTGCTAGTTATGGGTACTTTTTACTGAAGTACATTTCAAAGTCTCTTTACTTTTACTTGAGTAAAGTAGTTTAGTCAGTACTTCTACTTTCACCAGAGTATTTTTAAACACGAGTATCTGTACTTCTACTTGAGTAAAGGATGTGTACTTTAGCCATCTCTGGATAGCTGCAGATTACCTGAACGCCTCCTCTGTTGTTTTGGACGGTTCTCTCATATCAGAGGCCTCCTGCTGAGAGCCTGGCAGCAGAGAGACTCAACACCATATGGTCGTTTTCAAATACTGCAGAGAAGAAGAAGAAGAAGAAGAAGAGACAAAGGAATGAATGGGATTTCAGCCGAGAGGGTTTTGATAGCTAAAGAAATATATAAATATAGACACCATTAAATACAGTGTTGTCATGATTAGCTAGTTTGTTAGTTAGTTGGTTGCTTGTCAAGAGGGTTTTGATAGTTTTAAAATATCATACAAATAGACACCATACAATACAGTGAAGTCACTTTAAGGTCCAGATTAGTTGGTTAGTTAGTTCAGTGGTTCCCAAACTTTTTGTGCCCAAGGCACACCAAAGGACAAGTAAAAATCTCAAGGCACACCTATTGTGAAAAATAGCCCTTATAACACGTGTTATCACTCATATCATGTAAAATATCTGTAAATGTGCATAATTATTTACTAATGCCAAATAAAATGTGACAAAGACAACTATATTACGAAATATTTCAGAAATTAATTTGAAACTTTATCAAATTAGGCTTCATCAAAGCAGCAAAACATTCATTTACACCAGACAGGTCACAAAATAAAAAATGAGGCAAAGGAAACTCAGCAGAAATTCAGCACATAGAACTGTCAATGCAAGGAAGCTGCATTGTCCATGGTCCTGAACTACAAATTATAAATTATAAATGTATTACTTTAAAAAAAGTAATATATTACACTACTTCGTTACTATCTACATAAAGTAACTCGTTACTTTACTCGTTACTTTACTCACCGAGCACGTACAAACTGCGCATGCGTGAGTGGCAATAACTTTCCTTACCAGCAGGCGGCGGTAGTGTGTATTTGTCATTCAAAACAGGCAACAACCGGAAGACAGAGAAGAAGAACAGACTGCGTGATATAAACAAACAACAAATAGCGTGTGCGGTAGCTTCACCTTAGCATGTGTTCTTTGCAGGTGTTGTTGAGGTTTGACCACGTGGTGTTTCCAGCAGTGGATAACAGCTTCTGGCCTGGACACAGTTTGCACCTCACCGTCACATTCCTGTCTATCCTTCGGACGAACTCAAAATAATGGGCATACCCCCTCGAAAGTTATCGCTGACTCAGCCATGTTTATGCAGCACTGCACGTGGAGATGTGGACGAGCAAGTCGCGCAGATTGCGTACATATAAACCTACAAAGTACTGATATAGTAAATTAAAAAATAATTATTTTTGTGTAGTTGTATATTGCAATAATAATGTATGGTTGTCACAAAATCCCACGGCACACCCGGACTTGCCTCACGGCACACCAGTGTGCCGCGGCCCACCGTTTGGGAACCACTGAGTTAGTTGGTTGGTTGGTTTGATGTTTGTTGGTTGGTTGGTTGGTTTGTTGGTTGGTTGGTTGCTTGCTTGCTTGCTTGCTTGCTTGCTTGCTTGCTTGCTTGCTTGCTTGCTTGCTTAGTTAGGTTTTTGATACCGACACCATACATACACCGTAGTAACGTTACGGTCATTGTGAATTAGTTAGTTTTTGTTTGGTTGATATGTTGGTTGGTTTATTAGGTATTTATAAGGTAGTTGGTTGGTTGGTTGGTTGGTTAATTAAGTATTTGGTTAGATGGATGGTTGCTTAGATAGCTAGTTGGTTGGTTGATATGTTGGTTGGTTTGTTAGGTATTTTATAAGATAGTTGGTTTGGTATTTGGCTAGATTGATGGTTAGTTAGATACCCGGTTGGTTGGTTGGTTGGTTGGTTGGTTGGTTGGTTGGTTGGTTAGTAAGGTA